TGTATCTCTGTGTACCGTACGTGCGTGTATTTGCGTGTACGTGCACGTGCGTGTACATGCGTGTATCTGCATGTATCTGCTTGTACGTGCGTGTACCCGCGTGTACGTGGGTGTACCAGCGTGTACACATGCTTGTATCTCTGTGTACCGTACGTGCGTGTATTTGCGTGTACGTGCACGTGCGTGTACGTGCACGTGCGTGTACATGCGTGTATCTGCATGTATCTGCTTGTACGTGCGTGTACCCGCGTGTACGTGCGTGTACCCCGCGTATACGTGCATGTATCTCGCGTGACGTGGGTGTATCTGCGTGTACGTGGCACGTGCGTGTACATGCGTGTATCTTCGTGTACCTGCGTGTATGCAAGTGTACCCGCCGTGTACGTGCGTGTATCTCCGTTACCCGCGGTACGTGTACGTGCGTGTATCTGCGGCTGCACCCGTGTTGTACCTGCGTGTACGTGGGTGTATCTCCGTGTATGTGCGTTGTACCTGCGTTTACCCGCGGGTACGTGCGTGTATCTCCGTGTGAATGCGGTGTATCGGCGTGTACGTGTACGTGCGTGTATCTCCGTGTACCCGCGTGTACATGCGCGGTATCGGCGTGTACGTGTACGTGCGTGTATCTCCCTGTACCCGCGTGTACGTGCGTGTACCCGCGCAGGGCTCGAATAAACCCGACGGCAATTGACGTCGTGCCCTATCAATTGCCGTACTGCCCTGAAAATCCAACTCGAACCGACGCAGTCACCTGCCTGCCCCTTTTGTGTAATTGCCGTTCGGTGCCCTTTAATCTACTGCCTAGTTTCGTTTAGTCGAATCAACATAACACGTGGCGCGTCGCGTGCTGTAGTTGCAATGATGAGCTTTAAACACGTGTTAGTCGCAGGAGGGAATAATAACAGCATCGGATAATTATTCACTCCTGATAGCGGGCATGTAAAATTTCTTGTTACTATACTTCCAATTAGGCGGAGGGGGGGTACAGGGGTCAGTGTTACGGTGTAAGTTACATGGGGGCATATTGTTTTGTACATTTAAAAGCAAGACGAATGTTGATGTACTAATTTTGTTATGAGTTTTCCTTATTTTACAAAAGTGCCTTGTGCCCTTCTAAAATTTTGAGAGTTGCTTGGTGCCTTTTAAAATTGCCTCTGTGCCCTTCCATGTTTAGAGAAAATTCAAGCGATTTCTCACATGCCCTAAAAAAAATTGCCTTGCCGCTTCTCGTCGCTTTAATTCAAGCCCTGTACCGCGCGTGTACATGCGTGCAGACCTGCCAACCCCATCTGATGATCATCAGTAATAATTATTGGATTTTTCCGTAACAAAATAGGCATTTGTCGAGTAACACCTTTTTGTCAGTCTTATTACAGTATAATAATAACATAATTAGCATAAAATGTCATTTGCAGTTCACACATACACCAAAGCGTGCGCGTGCACTGCGCAGCACCTAATTTATCTCTCACGGGTGATTGGCTGAAAATAGGCCTTCAGTGCTCGGTACTACTTATTCCTGGATCCGTGACGTCATTCAAAATGGCTGCGGCCATAAACCAGACAGACTGAGCGCATAAACACAGCATAATTTACCATTTTCAGTGAGGTACCGTTACGTTTTAAGACGCTATTAGTTTAATCTACAGACACAGTAGTATGTTACATGATATATAGTTTGATTTTACACTGCGTTTATTTCTTTTTTTTTTTGCACATGTTAAAAAAATAAGTTATGGCGTGATATCCTTCAGGTAAAACAGTAATGTAGGCTATTTGCGATAAATAATGTAGGCTGTAAATAAAAAGGTAGGTACTCGCTAACACGGCTGAAACCGCCGGCTCGGAGGGCCGGTGTTTTGCAAATGTTACCGGCCCTCCAAATAATTTGCCGGTATATGCCGGTGGGCGGGTGCTAATTTCGCACCCTGCATAATTTCTTTTAATGTATTCTATTACAGGACACGATTCTTAGTAACATTTGTAAAGAATAAACAATTACAATCTATATACTAGAACTGACTTTGGTACTTATAACTAATATAAATTCAATCACAAATTATGTTAATCATAATATATGAATATCATTTGTTTTAAATGTGGTTTATTGGGTGTTGTATGTTGTGGTCCTTCATAGTTGCATCTACAATTGTCGAATAATGAAAGGCTTTTAATTTTTTATAAATAAATGATAATATTTAAAATATTGATTACCTCCTGTAGGTAGTAGCTGTGTTGCTATGGAAACAAGTGTGGTGATGAATTGGTTTCTAGAGTATTCGCTGCTTTAATGAGAGGTTTAAATAATTTATGTATTCTAAGCAAGCTCATCCTGTGTTACAGTTGTGCCGTCAAAGTGTACTTACACACGAGACAATGTTAGTGCTGATAGTATATTGTGTTAAATGTAGGTCATCTATATTATAGATATATCATACTATATAGTTAAACTAAGTTGTGATTGTTAAGAAATATTGTACAGTTCTTATGTGCATGCAATCAATGATTTTATAATCATAAATATGAAACATCTTGCCGTGCAATATTGCATAATGTTGTGCCTAAGCTTGCATGAATACAGGGTACTATGTATGCTCATCTTTGTTGCTCATGGTTAGTTCCGTACACGTGTGCTGATAGCCTGATACCCAGGGCTTGAATTTCCCCAGTTTGAGGACTAATCCGTACGGATTTGTTTCTTCACAAATGAGCAAATCCGCTCAAAATCTAAGTAATCCGTACAGGATAGGCTAAATATTACTATGAAAAAAAAAAATTACATGCAGGACAAACCGACCTGAATAAAATACCTTAAGTTAAACATTGCTATTTTAGCGTTGGGAGCTTAGTATTTTATTGTACAGATTTGTCAGATAGTTGATTGAAATGCTGTATAATGGCTCTGCGACCACAGACTCTGTGTCTGCTCTGTGTACATTTAATGATTTTAAAGCAAAATTGACCAAGAAGTTGCTGAGGTGGAAGGAGCACTTTAACGGCAACTGTACGGATTTCCTTCAAGGTTCCTAATGAAATCCGTAACAAATCCGTAAGATAATGTACCCTATGGATTACCGTATTTCCTCTGAATTTCGCGTCCAGGATACCATGCCTTTTTTAACCAAAAGGTATATCTATACAGCTTGGTGATGTAAACCCTGGCCCACATGAAGGCCTATAGCGCCAGGCCCTGCACGGCCATAATTGGTCTATGTAGATGAGTCATACTAAGTTTTAGTGCAGTTTTAGTTTCTTCTTGCTGTGTTTTGTGTAGACGTATATGCACGAACTGGTTTGTGTTCACGTTTTCCGCCTGCCAGTATTTCACACTGCTTGCTGAATCAGACGGAGCTCACCACACCCAGCAGTATTGATTTCTTGTGTGGCTGCCATGTTGCCAGCTGTATATAAGCCTAAATATAGGGAGAGCACTGGCTTGGTGCAGAACTGGCGAGTTAGGCAGCTGAATGGGTCGGTGGTGTGTCATTGCTAAAATCTATTAAGCTTGCACAGCCGTTGACAAGGCTGGACGTACACATTGTGATACCGTGTAATGCTCACTGATGTACTGATTTCGGATACATATTCTAGTCGCTTCTAGGTGTAGATAAGATTTGTGTGTGCATGTGGGAGTGTGCATACTGCGGTTCTGTGATTGTTTATCATTTCAAAAGGTTACAGTACTGTCTGGCGATTGTCTTGTATGTACATGTGAGCGTTTGCATGTAATTGAAGGGGAGTATGGGAGTGGGTAGTATTTATTGTAACTATGTTCTCTTCTAATTATTCAATTTGTTACTGTGGCGGTACTATGCTTGACTTGTGGTGAAATTGTATTAGTAAATTAGCACGCCAGGGGCCCTGGCATTTCTTTAAAGTGGCATGTAATTTTTCTCTTGCAGGTATTGAAGTGTGCTAATAAGGCAGGAAAAACGAAAATTGACTACGTGAAGAACCTAACCTGTAAGTAAACAGTCTATATTACCTCATTACTATTTTCTTTTAGCTTCTTTTCTGGTCCCGCCCTTTTCTCTGTATGTAACCTATGTTTTAGATTAATTTTGAATTATTTCATAGATGATTAGAGAATCATCTAACATTTAAGGATCAATATGCTAAACCCAGCAATAACTGGACATTAATGTAATTGTAATCCATTGAAAATTTCAAATTATAGACTGTGTAACTTTAAAGCCGTTATGCCACGTTTTCAGTTTGCATTTGCAATTCGTAAGTTTAATTTGCAATTTTTCTATAGGAAGCCTATGATTTGTATTGCTATTGGTGACTGCGATGATGGCTTCCAGTATTTGTAAATATTTTGGCTTTACCAGCATTCTGTCTTCTTTCACTGCCTTTTAAAATAAGTTGCTGATTCCTGATTACCCAGAAAATAGATCCAAACCAACTCTTTTGTAAATGTCATGCATATATTACATATTTCTTAATATTAAATCTATATTAATATATGCTGTGGCAGACGTTGCTAAAGTCAATCCGTATTATGATACATATTACAGACAACCAGCTTAACTTACTCTGCTGCTTCTGTGATATATGTTTTGTCATGCGTCATTTTTCTGTATCTCAATGTACGTACTTGATATTGTTGCCCGTGGTGTTTGCAGTTAGAGATGTTGAATTGACATGAAGGCATTTGCTATTTGTTTGGTTGCGTTGTGTGGCGTGGTGGGTCCGACGTCCATTTTGTAATTTCCTGTGAATTCTGCTGTCATGAAATATAGATTGATGGGTTTTCAAGGAGGCATGTTTTGTTATTGTATAGTTAGCAGATGAAGTAGAATTATGTTTGCAATATAAATCTTGAGATTTACGGTAAAGGACACTATCACATATTCTTGTGTGAGACAGGTAGCATTGGTCCGTGTTGTAACAAAAAGTGAGGCCTCAACAACTAAGTATTCACCAGTGGTAAAGTCTAAAGAGTTTTCTTTTCTTTTATTATATATACATGTCGAGACAACAGTAATGGTTATTGTGTGATCTTTGAAACATCTCTATCATTTTGGCATTGGCATGTATATAGATAGATAGATAGATAGATACTACACATGTACTGTACATATGTTGGGGTCAGTGCAAAAAAGTGGCTAGATTGTTTCATTGAAATTACCTACAGATTACGTTGCTACGGCAGTCAGTGCTTCATAACTTTTGCATGTTTTCTGCAAAGAGGATAGTATTACATCTTTTATGACATTCACTGATTTCACTCTATATATGAAAGCTCCTCCCTTGACCTAAGAAACGTCATGAATAATTTCAAACAACCAGCTTGTTAAAGCCCGTCTGGCTTGCATTAATTAAACAGAAGCAGTCTGACAGATTTTAATTGCTGGTGATGCGCATATCAAGAGTAAGTGGAAATAACTCGGTCATTAGTTTGAGGTAATAACTAATATATCAAAGCAGTGGCTGTTACTGTTAGTAGCATGTATATGTAAATAGCACTCTAACACGGTTCTAGGACAACTCCCCCCTCCCGGACAACCACCCCCTGGAAAAACGCCCCCTCCTGTGCCATTCACGCCTGGGCAATTACCAGTCCACCATTATTTTAGTTTTATTTATTTTTGAGATTGTGTGTTATCTTATTCCCTGAAAAAAATGCCGTTTTGAAAGCTACAGGGGGAGATAATAATATAATAATATAGAGAGCTCTATAAGCTAGAAATACTATTAGATTTTTTCTTATATATATTCACCATGTTTTTCAGTGAAAATCTCAATTTAATGATATATGCAGAAATAATTAAATGTCAGACATATTCATTAAAAAAGATCATTTGTAAGGAATTTTTCAGGCATGAATGGCGTGGGGGTGTTTGTCCAAGGGCTAACTGTCTAGGGTAATTGTCTGTGGAGTGATTGTTCAGTAGGTACTTGTCCTGATACCCTCCAACACATTTGATTATCCAGTGCCTGTGGGTTTTTTTTGGTGAAGCCAACGTTGTAGTTTATTGTTTGATAATACCTGCCATGCAGCAATCACGTGCAACCTTAGCCCGACCAGGCTGTGCGACCGATTGTCTATAGGGTCTTCTAACCCTAGCAAGACCGTTTCTTGGAGCTACTGCTAGTGCAACCTGTACGTATGTTGTCTTACTATAGTAATACGCGTGTGCGCGTGGGTGCGTGCGTGCGTGTATACATGCACTGTATGGTATCAGCCACCACTGACTGATCAATAAGTGTTTTCGCTGCTGCTTTCTAAAATTTTGCCAGCTGGGTAAAATCGTTGGCGCTGCTGCTGCTCAATTAGGACTGCTGCGCCGTGTGGATGCCGCGCCCAGGCTCGCGTGGAGGCGGTGTGACGTCAACGATATCCTCTCCGCTCGTTGGTGACTTGCAGCGCGGGCGGCGCAGCACAGTGCGGCAAGCGGCGAGAGATGCAGTGCAGTCGTTGCTCGTGCTGACGTCAGTTAATCGGCCGGTGCGACGATCGCACAGACGGGGTTTTATGCCGACCGCTGGGGAATGCGAGGAGATGTCAGTCGAGTCCCCTGCATCGTTCGCACGTGTGGGCGGCAGTGGCACCTGTAGGGTGATGCACCACCCAGTCGCCAGTGCTGATGTATGAGTGGCTTCAGTTAGCCTCGTTAAGGTTCCGGGTTATCATCAAGTCGGACCCTAGATGTGTAGCCCGAAAGAGGGCACGTCGGTGAGGCGAGGTGAAATTTGGAGCAGTTTGTTATGAGGATGATGTATTGCATCTATTCCTCACTTACCGCACTTGCTTAATGCACGTGTGGGTGCGTCGGTTGGAGCGGCTATCAGGTGCATGTCTACTGTGCACGTCACGCCTGCAGGCACTACGCGAAGAGGAATGTACTTTAGTACTGGCTATTTCGTACAAGTTAACTACGATTTACGGTAACTGCGCACATTGCCCATGTTTGGCAAGCGTTTCTGGATAGAATGCCTTAGTGATGAAGTGTGCTAGGCCCACCCCAAGTGTGCACATGTTAGAGATACACACAGAAGCATGTGCAGCCTATCGAATTCCTTCCTTCATCTCCTCGCTGGAAAGAGAATTAGTTGTGTGGGAATTGCCGGTGGTTAATCAGTTGGTGAGGATCAGAGTCGTGGGTAGATCATTGATTTTCTCGTTATTAGCGATGCAAGACTTATTGCCCGCAATGAAACCAAAATCATCGTCGCTCTCCGTCGATTTTCGCAGTAGCGCAGACGTAGTGATCTAAAGTTAGAATGCTGCAGGCCGCCGCTGTCATGTTCTGGATCATGTGATCATCTCACGAGCGCGTTACGCCGAGCGGTGGGTGAAGCCGGTTAACCTCTGTCATGACGACGAGCGTCCCACATCTGCAGCGCGCGCGCTCGCCCGCGGGCCACATTTCGGCGAGAACGGCGATCGGCGTGTGACTCGATTTTTTCGAATCTGTCCGGCACTCTGCGTCGTTTTATCGGGCCGATCGATGGGGAGAAGGCGCGAGCTCGCTGCCGGTGCTGCGGCGTGCCACACAACATCCCAACATCAACCGTGACGTGCTTGAGGAGTCGCGCTGGACACGGCGAGCGTGGCTTCCCGATTCGTTTGCCGCATTCGTCACTTTAATCGTGGGGGGGGGGAAGATTCGTGATTTCGCGGCAGAACGAGTGCGATGCCCGTGTGCCCTTTCATTGAGGCTCATCCCGACCTCTATCTGCTGCTCATCCTACTGTGCTTTCTCATCTATTGGGCGAGCCAGGGCCTGCTTAGTGCGTTCTGGATTATATTGACCGCTGGGAAGTCTTCGCACGGCAGTGGTGAGTGTAGGGTGGTAATAGCATGCATGGGTCGTGTTTCGATTCGGCACGATGCGCAGGTTTGGCCGCACACGATGAGCCGTGTACATACAGACAGACAGTCTGAGTCTGCAGCGGATGTGGAATGTCATTATGGTGGTGATCGTGATGGAGAACAGCCGATGAAAGCTTTCCGTTGATATTTGATTTAGACATATATAAATTATTATGCTTTCATCGTTCTACGAGTAAATGCTCCGGCCACATTCCTGTATGAAATTTCACTGAGTACTTTTCCAGGCAATTTCATATATAGTATGTAGAAGTGTCTTCCCATGTTGTGTATGTGCAGTGAATGAATTGAGGCAGTAGCTAATACTCACAGTACAGTGTAGCACTAAACAGAGTAATGGAAAACGAAAAGTGTCACAACAAACTACCAACTGCATGCTAATTTAACTGAACACAATTTTAGTTGTCACTTAAGAGCATTCGTGAATAAAATTAGTGTGAATGAATAAATTTCTTCCAGTTATCCAAAAGATATAGTTGTTGGTTGCCATGGAGACAATGAAACATCCACTGACATGTTATGTTCTCTTAGTATGCCTGGCCTTAGTGTGAGTCTTTGTGCAGCTGCATCTTTGTGTAGTGTCTCAATTCTCTCACAGAAACGATTACTGCCATATTTTAAGTAAAATCGATTAGTCTCTACAACTAGATTCTGCTCAAGGTGCCTTTGTAAATTACACACGGAAATCGATACTGTGTTAGTGTGCTATGTAGGTTGAGAGGGCCGGTTGACACGGAGCATGAAAAATAAATCGGTTCAATGTGTAGCATTAACTTCTAGGTAGTGATTGTGTCTTCCCGTGGGCCATGAAGCATCGTTGATGGCGTACGCTCACATGCATCCACTGTGATATATATGGCATCTGTGATTACACACGAATGTAATATCACTATCAGGTGGAATAGAATCTGTGGAAGAAAAGATCATAAAGCTCTTGTCTAGACAGATCTATGCGGATGCAATGCGAAGCCCTGTCGGAAAGGTTGTTATTAGGGCAGAGGAATGAGAGCAGATGCTGCCGGCCCAGTTGCATGTGCTCGTGCTCATGTGGCTAGCTTGAAAGATGTGTGGCTTCAGTAATCTGTTATCAGAAGGGTGCAGGTCTTCATTCATAAAACCTGGTAATATGCGAATTACGGATAAGCCACAAAAGTGTTTGTCTCTGTTGATTAAATCGATGATGTCATTTATGGTATCAATTGGAATATAAAAAATGATTTTTAAATAAATATAAATAAATATTATTGTGCTGAATGTACATGTGAAGGAAAATAAACTGCGCAAGTACTGTGTCATTTTAATGGAAGTTGGTTTTGCTGACAAAATTCTATGTCTCAGGGTTCGAAATTAACGCTCGCACACTCGCAAAATGCGAGTGGATTTCCGAAATTGCGAGTAGAAAATATAAGCACTTGCATTTTATTGCAAGTGACATATAATCTGTTGTCATGGCTATCAAAATCCAACATCCCATATCCAGGCATTTTAAAAGTAACAAGTTGTCAACTAGTGATGTCACGATCATCGATTATACTCGATCATCGGTTGAACAGTGGCTTGAACCAAGCGCTTGGTTATCAAAATCCATAATCGATCTCATCGAAG